CCCCCCCAAAAAACAAACAAACCAAACCAACCAAACCAAAAACCAAACCCAAATTAGTGTGGGTGAAGAGGAATGTGTGAATGTGTGTAGGGATATTTGAAATGCATAGGGACAGTATTAATGGGGAGAGGTGGGAGCTAGATTGTAGGTTTGTTAGTTGGAGGGGTTAGAGGAGCAGCTTGCTGTTTCAAAAGAACTCAGCAGCTTTGTCTAGGAGACTGAAACACCACCATAAATCTCTAGGTGTTCTTGCTGCCTTTTCTTGAATTTTCATTTTTATTATGTTCTATCTTGGAGAATCAAGAGTAGTCAAGGATGAGAAAAATGGAATAATGATCAGAGCTAGCTGTTGCCTGTCAGCAATCATTGTTCCCAAAAACCTGTTTCCATTTCTCCCTACTGATCCTGCTCTTGTCTCTCTTCCATAGCCTAGAACACAGAAATGTAAACACACAGGCACAGTATCTTGTAAATGTGTGTGTTCTTCCTTCCTGCAGTAACTTTAAAGGCAACTCTTGCCTTAAATGATCAGTAAGTTGTGCTTTTTTTGGGAACACCTTAGAGGCTGGTAGCCACCTTGGGTGCTGCTTCCCCTCCCTCATGAGTAGCTCTAGCACTTGCTTAGAGGCCATATGGCATAGAGCAGGTCCTGGGCTGTGCTGGAGGAAGCAGGGACCACTAACCCCCCAGCCGCACTGACAAATGGTGCTGATGGGAGTGTATGAGCAGGTGACTGTCAGAAATGTTTTCTGCCATTTTTTTTCTCTCATGAGGCTACCATTTAACCCTTTCACCAGAAAAGCAGAACCTCAGCCTGGTTAAGGACGGGTCTCCCAGGGCGGGCACAAACACCTTTGCAGCCTGTGCTCACACAGCCCAGCAACAGTGCTGTAGCAGACCTGTGCTGAGCACTGCACACCTGCTTCACGGATCAAGTGAGAGAGGCTATGCAGATACTTTTAAACACTGAATAGCACAGGACCAACCTCTAGATGATCCATTTCTTCAGCTGATTTAATCTTTTGAGACCTGCTTAGAATTGCTTCTGAATTGCGTGCTGAGAGGATTACCCTTGCTTTCATCCAGCGTCACCTCCTTCTCTTTCCAGAAGAAAACTCCAAGCTGCTCCCACCCAGGTGGGACTTAAGCACTGAACAAGTCCAAGAGGTTGCAGAGGAGTCAGCTTCATGCTAGCACAGAAAGCCAGAGGTGAAACTGATTTTTAATTAAAATGATCAAGAAACTAAAGGCAGCAACTACTTACATTAAAACTTTTTCTGCTCTGCAAAGGGCAAGTTGTGCATCCAGACTTTATTCCCCATTTCTGAAGTCCAAGTGTTAACTCCTGTGAGAAACATTATTTTAAAAATCACATTGTTTTTAGACATCCATGGTAAACAACTCTACTGGAGCATTAATCATAATAAACACATTGTCTGATTGGAAGATAACTTTTAAAATTTTTTTTGTTAAATAAATTCATGTGAGCAAAGCTGACATGAGGAATGTCCTCTTCTCTACCAAAGAAGTACCTTGATTATCGCAGGCTAGAAGGTAAGGTAGATAACAGAAGAGTTCATTATCACGAATTTTCCTTCCAGTGCAGGGAATTCAAGATTATTACAGTTCATTGATATAAAATAATAGCTGTAATTTGTCTTGTTGGAAAGAGCTCTGCTATGCCTGAGCAGCCTTTAAATCCTTCTTGCTTAACATTTTTTGCCTGTGCTAACAATTAGTGCTGTATGAATTTGTTGCATTGGATTTCAATCAATGACCCAAACCAAAGCCCAGAGTTGTCGTCCGCTAAACAAAAGTTGCCTTAGCGTGACAGTGAATTGTGCTTTTAGTTCTTGAAGGGCAAAATACTTCTCTTGATCTTTATACTTCATAAGGAGGGAAGGAATGTAAATACATAAGCATGCGCAAGAAATTAACCTCTATTGTTGCATGTGCCCTGCAGGCTAATCAATAGTATGTCATGCAACTTACATGTCAAAAACTAGTTGCACATCTCAAAATGACCAAGATTAAAAGAGTTTGCCATTAACTTCAATACACTGGGGAATTGACTCAGAATTTTCTCCGTCATTAGAATTTTCTGTCCAAATTAACTAGGACAACTAGGGCACAACCCAGTAGGTTGGGGTTTTTTTAAGCAGTTGGATGCTTTGCTTGTCTGAAAAATGAGCCTATTAGCAGTTAAACATTGCTATAGCAGATTTTTTTTCTACAGTTGTGTACCATGTGTGTGCTGAAATTCTGCAAGAAGTTGTACGCTGTTTCAACAATCCTCCTGGAACTATTAAATATTGTCTGAATCATTTGAGCACTGGGTGGTATTTCAGTGGGGATGGGTTTGGCCTCTCTTAAATAGGGGTGAGAGCTAAGATAATGCAAGCAGAAGAAGCCTTAAGCATGTAACTTCCCAACTGACGCCATTGGTCCATCTGCATTTCTTCTAGCAGAGATGCTGGGGCACCCATCACTACCTCTGTCCTGGCACCTTCTTGAAGCTGATCTTCAGCCCTGTCCCAAGACATGGAGTAGGTGTTGGTCTTTCACTACAGAGTCCATCTTAAGAATGAGACACTATGAGCTGTCATCTAAACTGCTGGGCAACAGCTGAGGTTGCTGTCCTCTGCTTCCCTGCAGTATTGTGGTGCTGCGAGCATCCTTGCTGCCATGCCAGAATGCTCCAGCAAAACCAGTCGTGGTCCAGTAGTAATGTGTGTGGGTGGCTCAGCAGGACAGGAGTACCTGCAGCTTGGAGGAGTGTCTATTTTGCTGTATCAAAGGAAACCACTGCCTTTGATACAATGAGGTACTTTATCAGGAATGTGTCTCCAATAGTCTTTTAAGTGACTTTTACCTCTTAATCAAAATTGCAGCTTCTCAGTCCCCTGGAAGTCCTGCAGTTACTTGTAACTCTTTCTCAGGGATCATCTTACAGAAGTTAGTCAAACATTATTATTTTTCTACACAGACTTCTCAGTATTATTCCCCAAGTAATTTAATGCCATGATAACCACTGGAGTGCAGGTTCCTAGCTCCACCTTGTTCATGCCTTTTTCTGCCCAGGGTCCCTTTGAACCATGTCTGTAGTGCCCTTGAGACCTCTCTTCCTCTTCAGGTCCCTTTCTCCTCTAGTTTGCAAAGGAAGCTGAAATACCCAAAAATTAATTTCCAAGAAGAAACGTGGGTGGAAACAGCAGGAACTGGTTTGAGAGTGGCTGGGGACAGGTAAAGGAGTTCAGCTACCATAAAGCAGGAAGGCAAGGCAGGAGGAGCTTTAGACACTTGAAGGACAGCTGTGAGGGAGACGTCTCTCTAGAAACCATTTGCCTAGGCAGGGATCTACAAATATTCCTTGTAGAAGGTGAGCAAGGTTCATGCTTTTCTGAAGGTTGGAGCACTCAGCCAGAAGCAGGAGAGCTGGATTCTGCACTTGCTCCATCTAAAGAGATTTAAACCAGGGTGATTAATTTTGTTTCCAATTAATAAGTTTGTTTTAATATTACTTATTAGTGCATTTAGGAGGGAAGTTAGAGGTTAGAAATAGCTGTTAAATTTCTGCCTCCTTCGTGATGGAAATAATTCCTGTTGTGTATCAGTGGCTGATATGTTTGATGGTGTCCCTGCCTTTGCCACCCAACCATTCATTTGAAGCCCCTGTGAGACTTGCTGAATCAGTGTCTGTACAGCTGCATTTGAGCAAAACAGGAACACTGGCATCTCTTAAAATAGCAGTAAAAGGGCAAATTATAATTTCTGAAAATGATGGTCGGTGAACTAGTTACTGCCTAATATTTGTAATTCAAATACAGCTTGCTCACCTGCCTTCCCCAACAGCCCATGGGGTTGGCATGGCTCAGGAGGGGGCAACTCCACCCCTTTCATTGACGTGGTCCACTGCAGCCAAGGTTGATGGGCTAGAAGGAGAGCAAGCAAAAGATCCTGGTTTGGTGCATGAAAAAGCACTTGGGTGAGAAGTCGTCCTGGAATACGTCTATGGCTACCGTATGCCCAAGACCAGAGAAAGAAATGGCAGTTTG